ACTGCTGTTACATTATGGGGAAATCATCCATAAAATCAGGGAAAGTAGTTTGTACCTCCAAGAGGCCGGGCCTTTACTAAACTCTACACAAGTGTATGTTCACATCTGACATTAAAGAAAGTAAAAATACAAGAAAGAGACAAATTTAGTAATCCCAGGTGAAGTCCAACAAAACTATTAATCTTCATGCAGTTTAATACCTCATATAATTTCATCCAGCCTCCATAAATGTTTAGCACCCACTGCCTAAAAATTTATGGAGTAATTTAGGCAGTGGGCGCTTTTGTAGTTCTTTTGTTGTCTGACTGATGAAGAGGAATAAAATCTTGGGTGAATTCTGGTTTCATGCACAGTGAAGAATCACCACGGAAAATGCCAGATGTTCTTATTTTCTCTCTACTTCTAAAATTTATTCACATTTTATCCAGGAAGTTCTCGACTGGAATATTAACTGGTGTTTATCTGTGAGGGTAGAAAATGTTTCACTGTGAGGCTAACACTAGAGAAATATAGAATCATTTATTTGTTGAATAAGAGTAAAAATATTGTAAACAGGTGATTTTTTTTTTCTTTTCAGGGTTTTAACTGGACACGGTTCATAAAAGGTGTTCTGTCGACTGTTTCCATTGATATCCAGCTGGATGAAGAGGTTGTGGTGTACAGCTCTCCCTACCTGGAAAAGATGAACGACGTCCTCTCCAGATACAGCATCCAGTTAGTCCACAGAAAAACCTGGAAGGGGAAATAATCAAGAAACGTTGCGTCAAAGCAACCACAGTTAAACCTTTTGTTCATGTTGCAGGACTATGCAGAACTACCTCACATGGCAGCTCATCACAGACAGAGTTAACAGCTTGAGCCGCCGCTTCAAAGACGCCAGGGCCCGCTACAGAAAGGTCCGAACAGCCGACCGTCGCTCTGCCAGGTGACCCGAGCCTGCTCCAGTGTGAGCTAACTGTGTGCACGTTTGATCAGGCTTTATACGGGACCACTGTGGAGGATGCTTCCTGGAGAGAATGCGTCCGGTATGTCCAGAGCAGCATGGAGAACGCGGTCGGCGCGCTCTACGTGCGCGAAACGTTTGCAGGAGAAAGTAAGCGAATGGTGAGTCTGTCAGGCTTCCGTCTGCATCAGTTTGTGTCAGCGCTAAAGCCCTGAAATAAACACAAAAGGTAAAAAAATAAAATAAAAAATAAGCCTGCAATCATCCAGTCGGCTTGATTTGCAATGCAGTAGTGATTGTAGGAGTGCGACATATCCAATCTGAATGAAGTACATTTCAATAACGTTGCCATCTGTGGAACAAAATGTAGCAACGACAAAGAAAGCAAAACCATAGGAAGATGCTGTCTAATCTTTGATAAGCAGGAGCTTTTTAAGTTTCTGTTAAGCAACCATGCACACACAAAACCACATCTAACGGCAGCTGGAGGACAGAGAACTAACATGCATGTCTGAGCTGACGGCAGCATAACTGCAGAGATGAGATGAGCTCAGGATAACCAAACTCCTGAGACATGAGAGAGGCAGAGTGTTTAACTTGCTGTAAACCGTCTGCTCTTCAGGAACACGTGAATGAGTTTCAAATGAGTTGTTTCATTGCAGAAGAGTTAATCATGACAAATAATGACTAAAAACACTCGTCTTTATGAGGTATTTGAATTGTTTTAAGGGTTCCTTAAAGCTCAATGTTTTGACTCTACACTTTTTTGGAACAAAACACAAACCCTGCACAACATTTTTCCTTTGTATCATTTTATAAAAAGTTAAAATTAAAGGTAAAAATGTACTAAAGACAATTCATCGCAACCAGATTCGCACATTTATCAACACAACTGTAATAAGACTGTGTGAGAGACAGGATGCTTGGAGCTGCATTCATAGTCTGACCACTCCCTCCTTTTTGCACATGATGTAGTCCTCAGCATTACAAACAGCCTTTTTAATTGTCTCATTATCTGTGTCCTAAATCATGAAGGAGGGCACCAAAGTAATTACCAGTTAAGTATTTGGTGAAATTGGGTTTCTTCTTTTTAGTATTTATTGATGCTGCGATCATAACTTTGGGTGCAGTCCGTTTTTTATGAGCAAATGATGAATCGAGGCCATTTTTATGTCCACTCCTTACGAACAATGAGCTCAGATCCACAAAAAAATAAATGCATAGATGCTGAGATGTGAAGAGGGCAGGTCTTCAATCCTGTTAATGGACTGGGTGTATAATGGGTTTACTTTGGACTTTAAGATTCAGTAAATGTACAAAATAGAGGATTTAAATGCTTGCACTTCATCTGCATCCCCTCCAGTTTATTTAGAAGTGTTAAATTAATTTCTGTTTAATTCATCCGACTGACTTGATTTGTTTCCCTTCTTCTGGTTTTATGGAGTATCTGTGGTTTGTGAGTATCTAACCTGCAGCAGTCAGACTGTTCAACATTTATGGGCAGATTTTCCTCCAAAACAAATCAAACTTCACACAAATGTAATTTCTTGTTAATTTTTAAAAATATTCTCTGAACTGAACAGTATTTGTTTAAATACTCCACCTGCTGCCAACATGTGAGAATGTTTGGAAGACGAATGTGCCTGTCTCTCTGATTAATGTGGCTCTTGAGTTTTTATTGTTTTTACACTGGTGAATGCTTTTATCGTGTTGAAATTTACATGTAAAGTGCATTATAAATGAAATTGTATTTTAATTGTATCATCTCGTGGACATCTTGCTTTCTCTGGAAAGTCCCACTGTCTATCACTTGTTTTAGTAATAAAGTAAGAAGTTGAAACAAATAAAGATGAAAATATTCTGTGAAAAGTTTTGAGTTTTGCTCCTCTTGCACTTGATAATTCTCTCTGATTATTCAGCCCGACTCACAGGTTATCTATTAAATCCCACTGATAAACCAATAAATAAATGAATGAAAACATAATAGAGTTTTAAATATGTCAAAATCAAGTGTTTGCTGGACAAGTGTGGCGTTAAAACTGTTTTCATCAAACCAAGGCATGAACCATTTATACTAAGCCGATTATGGAAAACACTAATCTATTCTTCTAAATGAATTTAGTATTCCTATGTGCAGCAATGAATGTAAACTGTTTTATATTTTTATGTCTTGTTTTCACAGGTCAGCGACCTCATCAGTAAGATCCAGACGGCTTATGTAGAAACCCTGGAGGAGCTGAGCTGGATGGACGCACCATCCAAAGAAAAAGCAAGAGAAAAGGTACGAAATGAGGAGAGAGCTTAAAAATGTTAAAAATGCTTCAGAAAATCACCCAAGCTGCTTTGACTCTGTGCAGGCAATGGCTATAAAGGAGCATATTGGCTATCCAGACCATATTCTGCAGGAAAGCAACCAGAAGTTAGACGAGGAGTACGCTCATGTAAGTAGAAACCGAGGCTGGTTTCCAGCCTATTCTGTCTGAAATATTGACTTATCCCTGATTTCTTTATGTAGTTAAACTACAGCGAGGAACACTACTTCGAGAACATCCTGGAGAACCTTAAATCTGAAGCACAGAAGAGTCTGAAGAAGCTCAGAGAGCCGGTGGATCCTGATCTGTAAGTGGCAGATTCCTCCAAAAACCCCAAAATGACGGGCTGATGTTCACTGGGATGCTTTAGTGCTTTTAGCTGGAGAACATCCTAAGCATGCAGACAATGCAAACCTTGGCCTCTCTGCTGCATGTATAATAAAAAAGGACGCACTTAGCTGAAAGAATATGCTGCTGCTGCTTTTATAGTCAGTGTCTCTGAGCTGAGCATTAAAAGGAGTCGTTTTGGTCAGCTTCCTTTAATGGTTCCACAGAATAATATCTTTATTTTCAAGAGAAAATGTACAAAATGCATTTTTAAAAAAAATGATCCTCTTCACATCTCTCCTCAGGTGGATCATCGGTGCTGCTGTGGTGAATGCATTTTACTCACCAAACAGAAACCAGATAGGTGAGAGGTTCACTGCGATAACAGGGGCCGCGTCAGTGGCTTCCACTGCGCTTTGAGACAACATTCATACATCGTGAACTTTTCCACATTTTGCAGCATTTCACCTGCAAAGTTTGAAGTATTTTTGGGGAATTTTATGTGACAAACCGACACAAAGTGATGTGGGACTGTGAAGAGGGAAGAAAAACATGGAGGGTTTCAGTTTCACAAGTGTGCTTTTGCATTCATACCCCTCTGCTGCCCCTAAATAAAACCCAGAGCACCAAACTGCCCTCATCCATTATGGATACTGTTCTAGGAGCACCTCCAAAGTTTGTTGGCGAATGAAAAGCAACAGAGCAAGAAACACGGCAGACAGGACAACATTTGTTGGGCATTTTAAAGCAGGGTTAAGTTATAAAACAATATTATCAAAAAGTTTGAGCATCTCACAGAGCTCTGAACACTGAGCATCATCATGCGCACTCCATCTGTTTGGCTGTGAGGATGTGATTCCTCAGCCGTCCTAAAAACACCTGCAGCTTTATTTCCATGCAGTTCTGAAAAGGCTGCACCATAAAAACACTTGAAGATATTGTTTGCAGCAAAACCAAAAGTGGAAAAGCTTACGAGGTTTTCAAACCCCTCGGTCAGTTTTCACTGCAGCATTCAATTCATCCTCTTCTTTTTTCTGTGTCCAGTGTTTCCAGCAGGAATCCTGCAGCCGCCTTTCTTTAGTAAACATCAGCATCAAGCTCTTAACTTTGGGGGAATAGGAATGGTTATCGGACATGAAATCACTCATGGATTTGACGACAACGGTGAGATTAGTAGCAATGATTTACCCCAGATAAAATGATGATGATAAAAAAATGTTGCTCCAGTTTTATTTAAATGCTGCCTCTGATGTTAACATGCATCATGTTTGCTTACCTACGACTGACGTCTTGTTTTCAGGGCGTAATTTTGACAAAGATGGTAACATGCTGAACTGGTGGAGCAATTACTCTGCTGACCACTTTAAGGAGCAGTCACAGTGCATGGTGCAACAATACGGCAACTTCATCTGGAACCTGGCAGGTGGACAAAATGTAAGCCTCCTGTTTTTGGCGGAGTGTTTCTGTTTTGACAGTAATATCACGCATTATGCAACCACTGGAGGGTGTTTATGTTTGTCTGGCTGATTGCAGGTTAGTGGAATCAGTACTTTGGGGGAGAACATTGCAGACAATGGAGGGGTTCGTCAAGCCTATAAGGTAGATGTCAGCGGCCTAAAAAAGCACATGTGACTGCTTGAACTTCAACAAGTAGCCCCACGTATCTCATAATTAGCCGCCTGCTGACCGGCAATGGGTTTTCTAAGTGAAGGTGTGTGTTTACAGGCTTATCTAAAGTGGGTGGAAACAGAAGGCGAAGAACCTCGGCTGCCTGGTCTAGACATGGATCATAAACAACTATTTTTTCTAAACTTCGCTCAAGTAAGTGACGAGGAAACATGAGCTAAAACAAAGAGTATAACAGAAACTAGGGCTGGACAATAAATCAATAACAATATATATTGCGACAGACACGTGGTCGGTATCAATATATGACATTCACGAAACACAGCATTCTGGGAGATTTAGACAAAGGAACGGCTTTAGCTGCTCAATCTCTATCAGCCAGCTAAACAAGGTCGGTGGAATCAACTAGCTCACTCTTTGGTTACCTAGCAACTCGCTCACTCTTTGGTTACCTAGCAACAACCTGTTGAGTAACTGCCGCCGCAGCAGCAGTTTAAGGTCCCACTATTGTGCCTCATAACTGCTTAAAAATAAAAGAAAACAGGAACAACATGGAGGTCATTCCACCAGCTTGGCAGTATTTCAGATATTTTAAACAACAAACAAATCAATAATCATCAATATGGGCTGATATGAAACGATTACATGGTGAAAGGTTTTCCAGCCATATTGTCCAGCCGTAGCAGAAACGCATCTGTCTGGGATACAAGTCTAGTTTGAGTAAAGTTTGAAAATTATTTCAAACTTTAATTACTTCAAAACATTCAAAGTTATTTAAGAAATAGGAACTGTACGTATGTCTGCATAATAAACTCTGCTAATACAGCTTTATTTGTCCAGGTGTGGTGCGGTGCCTATCGGCCTGAGTACGCCAGCCAGTCCATTAAGACGGACTCACACAGTCCGTTAGAATACAGGTAACATAAACACTGGGAATTTATTTATGCAGCTTGAACTTTTTTCTGCTTTGTCATGTTACAAAAACAAACTTCAATTAGCTTTATTGTACTTTCAAACTTCAAAAATAATCAACATACAGTGCAACTAGCTGTTCTGTGAAGTAGTCAGAGGTTTGCTAAAGAAAACGAGCGATCGAACAGAACCAGGGGCAAGAGTTCAGAGAAGTGTAAAACAGATTTAGGTTGCAAATCTTCTAGCTTTGAATGTCTAACAGAAATCTTTTCAGTCCATCATCTGAAAAATGGAAAAGGTGTGAAAGGGAGGAGAACAACAATCAAAAAGTCCAACAACAACTTTGGAACAACTGCAGAAGATCTGAAAATCTGTGAACAGGATAACTAGTAGTTGCAAACTGCACAAACCTGACCTTCATAAAGAAGTGATAATTAAAAAGTCAAAAATTAAATGACCACAGTGTGAAAAACAGTACAGGGTAGAAGACTGAAACAACATTCTGGGCTCACCAAAATTCTTCAAAAAGTCATTAGATTAGATGAGATTAGAAATAGTTTATTAACTGCTGTAACGTTGAGAATGTTGGGATTTGCAACATTTCCAATCCAGCAAGTAAAAGTTAATACAGATTACAAATGAGAAGAAACAGATAACGATTATTTAAAGAGATTCGTAAGAAGTCACAAATGCTGCAATCTGAAAACACAATCAGATGGAAGCAGGGTAATTTAGAGGTTGTAAAGACTTGAGACTGGGGAGGAGGTGTGCCATCCAGCCAGCAGAAAGGTTTGGATGAAAACATATTCATGTGTTAAAATGGCCTAGTCAAAGTCCAGATTTATATCTAATTGAAAATCTGTGGGAAGATTTAAAAGTACATTTTCAGAAATGCGAGCATTTTAGTCTTATGATCTGCAACATTGTTGATTCAATCGGATGAAAAAAATGCACTCCACACATTTCAGATTTTTTCATGACAAAACATTTTAAAAGAAGTGGGTTTTTTTCTTCCACTTTATGCACATAAGATCTAAATGACATATGTTGGAGATGTGACGTAACAAACTGTGCAGAAGAGTCTGAATACTTTGGTAAAGCTTAAAGTGCTCAATCATTTGCTAATGTACATCTCAAACTGCTTTATTTACAAGCTAATTTGTATGGTGAAAATCCTTTTTTTTGAACCTGTCTAACGTTTCTTTTCATTCTTCGTGTATTTGTTCCTCTCGTCCTCAGAGTGCTCGGATCTCTCCAGAACTTCGAGGCCTTCTCAGAAGCCTTTCAGTGCCCGATAGGCAGCCCCATGAACCCCGAGCAGAAATGCCGCGTCTGGTAGAAATCCCCAAACTCTTTACCTTCGGCAACTTAAATCAAAAGAACAAGTTTTGCTTTTTAAGAAACAAATGATTCAGAATTTATCTGACGCAGAGCGATGACTCAAACTTAGATTCAGACGTGTAGATGTAAAAAGCCTGTACGATATCCTGGACTACACCCTTGTTTCCTACTTGCCTGAGTCTCCTCTCGAGCTGGAAGAGTTGTCTCCTGCTAACGGAGGTCACTTGTTCTTTTTCTCGCGCCCTACTAAAGAAACCAAGTGGGTAGATGAATGAAAAGTCTACATTTAAAAACATAAACCCTCCTGAGAGGGTTGAAGCCTCAAGATTTTGATGAACAAACCATTAAAAAGTATCTTTTATATACATCTTTCTGATTTATCTGGAAACATCTCGGCACAAAGTTGATTTTGTTAGGTCTGATATATTGATTCTTAGGACATTTGCAGAAAAGGAGTATGAAAGGGTATAAAATAAATGAAGGGAGCTTTGCTAAAGTAAAGCTACAGTGAATTAAACACACTCAGAGGGTTTTGGTCACTGTAACGTGAAAACAAATCACCTAAAGACTTTAAGACTGTTAAATCTTTGCAGCTTTAAGTTTTAAATTAGCATTAATACAGAGCTGCAGCTTTCCATATTTTTTACACTAACTGTTTCTCCGTTTCTGCAGACGATTGTTAGCCCAAACTTTATTGCAAAAATCAGCAAGAAACCACAGTCTGCTTTTTTTTGGAAGATGCTTGCAGCCTGCAGCTTTAAAGCTTGTTCAGTACCCATAAAAGTCGTAGATTATAAGTGAGAAGTTCTGCCAGTTTGGACTTTAAATCAAAGTAAGTCCAGAAGCTTGAGGGTGGACGCCTCCCACTTATAGTGTTTTATTCATTCTCACTTGGCCGAACAATTAAAACTTCTGTTCAGCTGCTGGGTCATCTAACTTGTATAATATCTGCTACATACAGAATCCCAGCTGATTTGTTGGGAAGCTTCTCTCCTGAGAGGAAACAGGATTACAGGAGTTTTAGCCTCGGTGTTCGGCCGCCTACATGAAAGGAAACGGAAACTCCTGAAGCTGAAGTCTTTCCCCTTCTGATCTCGCACTGATCAGCTCTGTAAGATGAAAGGAGCGGTGAAGTGTGCCTAAATGAGCGTCCGCCGCCGCCGCCGCAGGCAGGCAGCGTCACTGAGGAATGTTGCCATTAAGGAGAGCGGCCAGGACCAGGACTGTTATTTTCTACCCTTATTAGCAGGTAATGACAGGAGAATCAAACCCGAACCAACATCATCTTTCAGATGCTGGCTGAGCAGAACTTTGACAATGGACGGCTGGTTAGAATATTTGCTCTTGGTGTTAAATTTAGGTTGCCTTGGTAAACTGAACATGACTGTTAGGTCTCGACAGAGGCTGCATTATTGAATGTGAACGCCGATCATTTATAGTCCGTCTCTAAGTCTTCACCTCCTGGCAAATACTGTTGTGACACGAATGAGCGGGTAGGGAAATACAGACGACAGACGGATGTCCTCATAAAAGCTGATGTGTGTACAGCTAAATATCAGATGCATCTCAGTAAATCAATCTGTCGTCATAAAGGTACGTTATTTTAGTAATTAGGTTCATAAAGTGGAACCTTTATAAATTTTAATTGCACAGAGAATTATATATTTCAAGAGTTTGTGTTAAATCTGATGTTTATTACAACTAATCCATTGTCTGTACCCACTTAGCAGAGACAGAGGCACACATGCACACTCTGTCTCCTAAAGGCAAACTACAGAAACCATTTAGACAACTTGACATCTAAAACACCCAGAGAGAACTCATCCAGGATAATTCTATACCTGAAAATGTTAATTAAGAAAAAAAATCACAAACCTTAAAGATTGTGCTTATCCGTGTTACTTTGCATCTTTTTTTAATCCTCTATTTTCTTTCCACTAAACTTTCCACTACGATGTGAACAGCCTTGGATGTGAAGGCGATCTGTGTCTTCCCCATTATTTTTTAGGCCGTAACATGAAATTATTATGTTAAATATTTTGTTATTGGTCTTATAAAATAGTGTAAGTTTGTCCAAAGTTTGAATTTAATTGCTAAAATAAACTTTTCAGTGATATTCTAATGTACTGAGATGCAGCTGCCAAGTTAATGTTTGACATTTGGGAAATATTATCCACTTAAAATATAATTATATTTCAAATGAATATTGAAAATGGATGGATGCTTACTCTAAACATTCATATATGATCTGATGCTGGTTGGTGCAACTAGAGAGAAATGTGTTGCCCTCCAAACAAAGTTGTTTTGTTTTTCCCAAATCTTACCACCAATGGATTTACTGATGATGCTGTGTGTAAAGGGGAATAACCCAGATGTTTTTGTTTACCATTAGTTTGTTAAATACAGCAACTTCCACAGTTATTGTCCACAGTGTGTAAAAAGCTTCCAATGGATTTACATTTTATTCTGATTGCATAACCTTCCACTAAGAAAGAGAAAAAAACACTTTAATAGAACTAAATTTAATTAGCTGGTGAAAAATTGTATGTTGTAAAATAAAAAAAACAACAACAACCTTTGTTTAGTTTTGGTCATTTCTTTTAAATCATGATCCTGTTGGCAGTGGAAACCCACTTGCAGAGTCCATGAGACATAATTCAGGATGACCTGTTTTAGAAGAAAAATAGGCCCACAGCATCACAGTTCCTCCACCATACTTTACTTTGGACATCAGCATCTTAGTCTCATATGAGCAAAGACCCTATTTTTAATTAAAGTCTTATCCTCCTCATTTGGTGTAAAATCAAGATAAACCTGCATCCTGAAACGCCTACAAACCAGCGGCTAAAGAAATAAACTTCATTATATTTAAACCCCAGGGAAGCAAAGTCCCCAGATACAAGTATAAAAATTATATTTTCTGTGTATTCTGACTTTTTAGGCTATTGTTAGTTATTAATTTCAATTAAAGAAGATATTTTATTGCACTCTCCAGGTTGGAGAGCCTTTATTTTTGTGATCCATAAGTAAGGAAACTCCCTTACGTTTGGAGTTTGTATAGTTTGTAACTGAACACATTAATCTATAGAAAGACTAGCTTTTGTGCTAGGCTAAGCGAAGCTAACTATCAACTAGCACCAGCTTCAAGCATCCCTCTGATTAACTTCTCTTACAAATATTCCCCAAACTGTCAAGCAGAAGCTAAGCTCTAAGCAGAAGCTTGTTATGGGTGGAGGAAACGGAGCTGGAGGCTAAATTCGAAGTTGTGATGCAGCTTTGGATTGCTGGCAGAGGATCAACGAGTTTGATTCTTGTATATTTTTCCTTAAAAGCAGTACAAATGTTCTTGACTGAACACAGAGTTTATATAAAGAAAATGTGTTATTGTTGATTGTGAATAATGCCTGAGCCAAATCAGGTAAAATAGTTTTAAGTTTTTGTCTCACATTAGTGAAAATGTTGCTTTGAAATCAAGTACAAATGCATTTATTTTCTATGTACTGTATTAATCTGTTTCATCTGTACACCATTCAAAGACGATTATTTATCTAAAGAAATATTTATCAAGTAAAATTGTTGCTTTGCGAGACTTCAGATGTAAAAGATGTTTCTATGAATGTTCCTGCTGCTATGTAATTATCTAGACGGCTATTTTTGTGACTCCAATCTGTAATTATTGCTATTAAAGTGACTGTCTCCACTGGTGCAATATCAAGAGTCTGCTTTATACGTTTGCTCTTTATACATTCATTTTAATGAACAAGTACTTACCAGAATAAAAAAAAGACAAGATTTCAATCTTTGTTGAGCCTGATTCATTGGTAGCTCTGGATCCACTTCCAAACACTGTAATTAGGAATAATTACCTGCGATTTAAAAACTTCATTCACATTTGATATGAGAAACATCCTGCATAATTCAACAATTCACCTTTTCTAAAAGAATGTTTCAGACATTTGCCCATTTGCGTCCAAAGTCGTAGTTTGCACAGTGTTAAAAAATAAAAATAAAAAATCTCATTTTGTAAAGGCAACAGTAAAAAGAGAACAACCAAAATTCAGCTGCATTATCCACAAAATAGTCAGGGCACTCATCAATAATCAATAACTGAAGAAAATGTGGGATAACAGTGACGTTAGAGAAAGCGGATGTTTTCATACCAGTTTGCCACGAGCATGACAACAACAATGAGGAAGCAGCAGGCAGCTAATTGTGTCCTACATGAGACAACAACGGCCTTTACTCTCTACATGTCAGGAATAAGGATTTGAGTTGCAAGAAAAAATACATTATCTCGAAAATCTCCAACAACCTTGTTGAAGAAGGTATTGGTGTTTGACAAAACAAAAATATTTGGGCAATAATTAAAAAAAGGCGTGGTTTGCACAGACACAGAACCTAATGTCTAAAGAGAACACGATGAAGGCAGCGTCATGCTCTGGGATTGCTTTTCTTCAGCCAATGGAAAATTAGGCTTTTGCCAAAGCCCGTGAGGAATAGGGCCACGACATCTTCACCAAAAAAATAAAATATCTTAAACTGACTTTAATTGCTCAATATCTGGGAGAAATCCAGACTGAGCACTGGAGGGAGATGAGAATCAGGCAGAATTGCATAGGAGAGACATTTGTTGTGAATTGGTGGAGAATAAGCAAACTGAACTGAGCTGAACAAATGAAACATCCAAGAATTATGTTGAATTATTTAAGGGTGACAAACATCATAAAAATGTAAAAACAAATTCTGTGCAATGATTTATCTCCAAAAGATTTTATTATTGACCGCACAAATTCTTTACAGTTAAAACAAATGTAAGAAAATAGTTTAGTTAGACGCCTTGTGATCCAAAAAAAAAAAAAAACTGAAGTCAAAGTGAAATCATTACCAGACATACAAAATAAGACGTCCTTCATAAACTGTTTAAGGTGTACAAAGCTGCATTAAAATATAAATCATGATTAACATATTATTAGTTTCTTCTGAGTCACATTCAGAATCAAAAAGTGTTTCTATGCACCATAAAGATTCAGGTAAAGTATTAACCGCAGCTACACTGAGATTTTACAAAAAGTGAAGACAACCAAGGCGTTGGAGTTACTGCAGTATTATCAGTTTCATCGTTCCTCTTCCTTTATGTTGGCGACTCGAGGATTTCAGGCGAAGCTCAGAGCTGCTGCTTCATCGTGTACAAACATCATCATTGCACTACAGGAGAGGGCACAAAAAAGGAAACAAATAATGAGATTTACATTTACAACCTTTAAAGAGTTTTTTGCAAAATAAATTAGAAGAGAACATATTTTACACACAAATGTTAATGTTTTTTTCAGTAGGCAAGAACTGCTAGTTTGTTTTGTGTCATTTTGGTTTTACATTTGAATAAGGACTTGAATATATGAGCATTTCTAAAAATTCATTGGAAAATGTGTGAAAATATTTTTCTTTGTGAAGCTAAACGTAGCCAGAGATGAACTTATATAAGCCTACACAATTTACATTTGGGACTTGTTACCCAATCATTCAGTGTTTCCTACTATTACTGTAATTGCTGAAATAACCAGTTTTTAAATATATTTAATGAGTAATGGATATTGCTTTCTTCACCAGTTAGTTTGGTGCCTTTCAGGACAAATCTGGATGTAATTTCATAAGATGCTTTGGATTGGCTAAAGACAAACGTAATTTACTCCATATCAGCACAAAGAAGCTTGTTTCTGTCTTTATTCTTATGCAGAATAAAGTTTATTACATACATAATTAATGGTGGTGGTCTGGACTGTACAACATTGGGTAGACAAACTTTGATGGTTACAAATTTGTAGCATATATTTATAAGAAGTGAGAAAACCGGTGAGTATAACCTAGCTTCTCAATGTTGTAAAATGTTATTTTCTGAAGGAAGAAATTAAACCACTTGTTTTTAATGTTTCTAAAGGTGAGAGGAAGGTACATCCTGAGCAAAGGCAGCATCTTCAGCTCTGTCTGAATCTCCTCCCAAACTCAAAACAGTTGTAGCTTGTGACTTGCTCTGGTTCCAGACACATAATGACCCCTGAGAGGAAACAAGGTCTATTCTGTTCCCAGTGACATCTGTTAGTCGTCAGACAGGTCATGAGGGTACGCTGCAGCAGCCCTACATGGGGGCTTTTGTTGGAAACAGGCAGCAGAGCCAGGAAGCAAAATGGCCGAAGTAAACGTGGTGAATTTATGTGGCATATCAAAATATCCAATGATCACAGGACAATCTCCATAAAAGCTCTGGACTTGAGGAGTGAGCTCAGTGATCCAGAGCGATTACAACAAAACACAGAAGATGCTTTTCAGATATAATTTCTATTTCACGGCACATTAGACATCGACATCACAGACCCACAATCGATAACGTGGATAATTCTGTGAGCTGCAGGATTCAGACGCTTGTGGTTTTGTAACTGATGAACAAATATTTGCACCCCAGCAGATTTCTGTTCCTGCTTTTTTGTCACATTTCTACTCATCAAATGAAATTTAACACAAAGATGAACAGAAAAACATCAGTTCATGTCAATTCATTTCTCTTTTGTTTTTGATGATTTCATGTATTGAGGAAAAAAACAATGTAAGTGTAAAATGTAAACTGCAACTCTCATTGGAGCTGTGTGATAACTTCGGAGGGTCCAAAACCAATTCCTCTTTGCAGACTTTTTTCAGCAGGTGACGTCCAGGATGCAGGGTCTCGACACGATTCAAGTCCAAACTTTGACTAGGCCACTCCAGTCTAGTGGCCTAGTCCTTTAGTTTGTTTTTGAGCCATCCAGATGTGGACACTGTAACTATATTTCTTTTATAAAGATAACAATGAAAGTTAATAACAAAAGCATTATTCTAGAGTCCTAAATTTGCTGACCAGTAACTAAGAACTCCCAAAATCAATTTTTTTATAAGCAAATAAAGTGATCTGATGTTGTTTTAAAGTCACATTTTAAAATAAAAAGTCAAAATTCTCCCAAGACAAAATTTAAAAATGTATGATAATTTCTATGGCATACAAGTTCAATTTACAAGTCCAGTCTGCCTTTCTGATAGAATAAATATCAATTCAGATGCTCCTGCAATATCACTATCAGAGGTGGGCAGAGCATCCATAAATTTAACTCAGCACTACTTCTACATATTTTTACACAAGTAAAAGTAAAAAGTAGCCATCCAAGAAATTACTCCAGAGTAGAACAGTATTTATTTTATGAGTTTTGTTTTGGGTCTTTGTGGCTGTTTTTATGTTATCCTGCTGGTCTGGTGAGACCTTTTCTTGTGATTTTAAGAACAGAGTACATCACTTCAGTGTAAAAGCTTTCCAGGTCCTGACAGACCACTAAGATGAACTAATAGGTGTGAAATTGCCTGTGAAGAGAAATCTCAGCTGCATCAGTATCTGCTGACGTAAGAGAGTCACACACTTTCCCCTCTTTTCTTTTTAACCGTTTAGTCATACTATGTCAGTTTAACAAATGAAAAGGCCTTACCACTGGCTTCTGCCCGGCTTTTACTGTGGCTGAGATACCAAGAGCTGTGGAGATGTCATCCAGAGGCACAAAGTCTCCCGGTGAATCCTGGATGAAGTGGAGCAACACCTTTTCTCCACCTTAACAGCAGAAAATAGAAAAAGATTATGCATTTTTTAGGTTATTAAAATATTAAGAAGCACAGATTTCATGTTGAGTATTTGGGAGAAATTATATGAGCATATAGTCACAGCAACAAACACAAAGAAATCACCATCAAAGATACATAAACCTAGCAGGAAAAGAAACTTTGATTTTTCTTTTCTAAGAAATAAATGACCCAACAAATTAATATTTTATAATTTATTTATGTCTATTCATTTTATTGCTTGTTTGATAGGAACAGATACAAGACCCATAGATCAATGCCTGCATTGCAGTTTTTATAGCCATTGCTATGGGACAGTTATAGAAGGATCTTTAACTGTTGATTTAAATGAAAAGTTAGCATCAACAGTAAAATTATTTAAAAAAACAAACAAACAATGTATTTAAAACTATAATTACAACATTTAAAAATGAATCCTGTTCTGGTTCATCACCAGCCACTTCTTAAGCCCTGAAATGAACATTTTAATGTTAGTTATGGTCTTAAAATCAGATGATAATAGTGCTAAACCTTACAAAACCTGTAATATAAGGCAAGTCCAAAGGTTTTCCTGCAAAATGGTATTTTACAGTCATGATTTGTGATTATTTTAGTGACTCTGGTGCTGTTTTCTCTCGACAAATGTAAAATGGTTCAGGTGCTACATGCTTAATGCATTTAGCACCTTTAGAACATACAGACATTATTCCTGTATGTTTTTATGTTCTAACATATCACCATATACTGGTAGCATCCCATCATTTGGTGAGAAGCTGGACTGTTTCCATAAAGGAGCTTTGGTGGAACAAAGACAAAATTGTACAACTGCGCAGGACAGAATGACCTGTGATTTAAACTCCTTTCCGTCAGGGCAAGTCGCCCTGCAGCTCCGTAAAAGAGAGTATCAGTAAATAAACCGAGAGGAGTGGTGCAGCAGTCATCTATTTTTGGCCCCTAGTGTTTATCCTGACAATGAAAATGATCTGAGTCAACAGCAAAATTATGTGTTTCTCTTGTTTAAAAGGGCTTTGCTCACCATTTTTATAAGTAGGTGATGTTATTTATTTGTATCTGCGATTTTA